CAAACAAGACAAGAGATTGCAATGAATGAGCTATCATCAAGTTCTTAAAACATGCCTGGGTGCTGAACCAAAAGAAAATCATAATAGTACTTGGCTTTTATTTGATGTAATGTATGCACGTGGGCTTGTTTACATTTCATGCTTGTATTTTGGTAATGCCTAACAGCCCATTCAAGGTGTTACCCCATAGTGCTAGACCCCATTGAGAATGGGCATAGAATACAAACACAACAGCAAGTTCATAGTCTACAATGGAGGTGGCTTTAAATAAAGAGCAGGAGTTAACTGAAGGCAGAAGAAATTGATAATGGCAAAATTCCTGTTTTTAAGCAATAGCAGCAATCCAAAAATTTCATAGATTTCATAGACATTAGGGTCTGCAAGGGACCCAAGAGATCATTAAGTTCCCAGCTTAACCATGAGGACATCTTGGGGAACTAGGTCTTCTTGAAGTCCAGGTATATGGTGTCCACATCATCGCCCTTGTCCAGGGCACATGTCACCTGGACATAGAAGGCGATGAGGTTGGTCAGGCATGACCTGCCAGTCGCTTCTGGCTGGCATTCAGAAGCTTGCCTTTCATCAGTCTGGCATTGATGGATCCCTTGAGGGGATTTTCCTTGAGGATTTTTCCAGGGACAGACATAAGACTGATTGGTCCATAGTTCCCCGGGTCATCCCTCCTCCCTTTCTTGTAGATAAGGACCATGTTGGCTCTTTTCCAGTCATCTGGGACCTTGCCTGAGTGCCACAATTTTTCAAATATTTCTGCCAAGGGGGATGCAATGATGTCTGTCAGCTCCTTCAAGACCCTTGGGTCCATTGTGTCTGGACCTGCAGACTTGTGAATGTCCAGTTACTCAAAGTGTTCCCTCACCTGATCCGCATCGATTTTAGGCCCATCACCCGCTCCCAGATTGGTTTGTGCCATTCCTGACTGTGATCCTCCTGGGAGGGTGAAATAACAATGCAAAAAAGTAATTTAAGAGATTGGCCCTTTCTTGGGCATCATAAGTTGGTCAGGCCGCAGCTGGAATACTGTGTCCAGTTCTGGGCGCCCCACTTCAAGAGGGATGTGGACAACATTGAGAGGGTCCAGAGGAGGGCCACCCACATGATCCAGAGACAGCAGGGCAGACCCTACAATGAGAGGCTACGGGACCTGAACCTGTTCAGCCTTCACAAGAGAAGGCTATGGGGGGACCTGGTGACCGTCTATAAACTCACTAGGGGGGACCAGAAGGGTTTGGGGGAGACCTTGTTTCCCCCAGCGCCCCCAGGGATAACAAGAAATAACAGCCACAAGTTGTTGGAGAGTAGGTTCAGATTAGACATCCGTAGGAACTACTTCACAGTCAGGGTGGCTAGGATCTGGAACCAACTTCCAAGGGAAGTGGTGCTGGCTCCTATTCTGGGGGTCTTTAAGAAGCGGCTCGATGCCTACATGGCTGGGGTCATTTGAGCCCAGTTTCTCTCCTGCCCAGACAGGGGGTCGGACTTGAAGATCTACAAGGTCCCTTCCGACCCTACTTCTATGATTCTATAAAGTTAGTTGCCCCATTGGATCACTCAGGGGCTCCTTATTCAGCCATGGGGGCTTTCTTGCCCGTTGACTGCATTTCTCGTGAGATGGTATGGCTTTGCCCTGTACGTCAAGGATTATGTTTTTAAGAAATGACCAATCCTCGTGTGCTCCCTTTTCTGGTGGGGTATGGCCTCTAATTGCCTAACTGACCAATTCTCTCAGTTTGCAAAAGTCAGCCTTCCCAACTTAAGAACTTTTGCTTTACTGCTGGGTTTGCCTGCTCTTTGGTGAACTAAGAAGTTGACCAGTTTGTGGTCGCTGTCACCAAGCTTCTTCTCAATCCGCAGATTGCTCACTAGGTCCACCCCATTGGCCACAGACCTCTGGGTTAGGTAGAGGTCATCGATGCATGTGAGGAAGCTACGTGACCTGTCAGATTTGGCCATGTGCTCGTCCCAAGAGATGTCAGGGAAGCGAAGTTGAAGTCCCCCATGACGATCATGGGTTGGGAGCGCGTGGCCTTGAACAGTTCCCTATTGAATTCTTAATCTAGGTCATCCTCTTGGTGGGGAGGTCTGTAGTAGACTCCTATGAGTAAGTCACCCTCCCCATGTTCTCCTCGTATCTTGACCCAGAGGGTCTCAAGATGCCCTTCCTGGTTTGGAAACTCGATCTGCAGGGAGTGAGCTGATCCTTGATGTAGAGAGCTACACCCTCACCCCTCTTCCCAACACGGTCTCTCCTATACAGGTTATAGCCCTCTATTGCCACTTACCAGTCATAGGTGGAGTCCCACCAGCTCTCCGTAATTCCTACCAGGTCATAATCATTTTCACATAGGAGAAGGACCAGTTCCTCATGCTTATTTCCCAAGCTCCTGGCATTTGTGTACAGGCAGTTAAGGCTGCCATGAAATGCCCAATGCTTCCCTGAGAGGTTTAGCAGGACCTTTCCTTGGGCTGTCTCCCTTGCATTGCCCAAGTTATTGGTAGTGCAGCTGACATGACCTGGGCTAGAACTGTTAGTAGACTGCCAATCCCCCAGCAGTCTCAGTTAAAAGCCCTGTCAAGAAGGTCAGCCTTAGCAGGTCATTTCACATTAATTTTAACGATTTAGCAGTTGGGTCCATAGGTTCCAATAATGGCCTTCGCCCACTCAGAACTAGGTGCTATGCAAACACATAACCCAGGACCTGCCTCACAGAGCTTGTATTGCATCTGCGTCTCTGTTGCCCGCCTTAACCTCTGTTTTTCTTATTTAGAATGAGAATTCATGACAGATTTCTCTAGCACATCATCCAAAAAGGGGGCCTCTGATGTCATTTGGAGCATCTGGAAATTCTGTGACATAAACACTAATCGGCTCTTCCCGTTGAAAACAAAACTTGCAGATGTTCATGTGAGAGAGTTCCAGGGTAACAGAAGAAGTAATTTCTCTGTACCCCCTTTAAAATATCTATTAGTTTTGCTCTTAGATATTGCCCCAGTATGTAGCTGAAATTCAGATACCCTGACAAAGTTCTACACCTAATTTCCACTGAGAAGGTTTTTGAGTCTGTATTTATAGACTGCAGAAAAGAGGCTGTAATATGAAGCTTGCTAAACCTTGTATGTACTGGAGATCGTGAGTTTGTCCAAAATAGTACTAAATTTAAAAACAACTGCACTTTATATACAGAAAGCTTGGTGGCGGTGAGCAGGGTCAGAATTTGAGGGCAGATACCAACTAATCCTTGGAAAAATACATAAGTATTTAACATCCTTAAAAACGGGCCTCATATTTCCCAGCATTATATTAAGATATGAAAATATCACAGTACGCAGAACCACTTTACCAGCTTCCTTGTCATTGCTATTACCCAGACAAGCAATAGACTTGACAACAGAAAAATGGGGATCTTGTAACTCAGCTTGACATGCAGAGCTTTGGGTTTTAGCTCTAGCTCTTTCAAGGCTTCTCATGTGAGCTTGGGAAAGTCAATTAAACACTTGGTTGCCTTAGTTTCAAAGAACTTAAGAAATGCCATTTACTGGGTGACACCTTTGGTCCATCTGGCCCAGTATCCTGTGTCACACACTGGCAGAGTGTGAATGCTGAGGGGGAAGGTGAACAGGACATGTTCAGAATGTCTTCCCTGCTCCTCTACAATTGCAGCTTGTGTTTTTGAGGTGGCACTCCTATCTGCCATGCTTAATACCTACTGATGGGCTTTTCCTCCAAGAATGTGTCCAATCTGCTTTTGAATTGGGTCAAGCTATCATCAGCCTTCACATCTTTCCTGTCCTGATGCTTTCTTACAAGGCTCATTTCATTCATGTTTGTAAAGCACTTTGAGCTTCTCAGATGAAAAGTACTGTTGAAGTGCAGATTGTTTTAATTGCTTGAATAGTTACATTACACTATATTATATTCAACTGATAAGCCCTTTAAAAGCCACAAGCCTGCTGGCAATGCATAAACCAACACGGAGAACTGAGTTGCTACATTCAAATGTTCATCTGAACCATCTATTTTAATAAACAATATAAAATATTGCACAGATCTAATCTGACATCCAGAAGACTTTTTCAGAGGGGAGCAGTAACACCTGGTTATGTTTTTGCTGTACCTCAGGAGGTGATACAGGGTGTGTCTACGCCTGTGCTTCAGTGTTCAGTAGCCTTTTCTACTGTGCTTTAAAGCAGCACATCAAAAACCATGCCAGTACACTAATGCACAGTAGACTAAGCTACTGCGCATTAGCATCACCTAAAAAACATGCTCTTACACTACTGTGCATTAGTGTACCTAATGCACATTTATTTAGTACCTTATATTGGAGGTACTGCATTTAATTTGCATTTGTAAAAGCACATTAATGCACATATAGATACACCCACTTTGAACAATAAGACTGCCCAAAAGAACAGTTTTCCTGAGTAACATAGGGTTCAGTTAATGCCACCTGACCCCAAGCTCTTCTTTAGAAATGAATAATATCTCTATTGCTTTATCTGAAATTTTAAAAATGGCTATGCCCAACAAAAGTCCCAAGGAAGAATTTAAAAGTGAGTAATTGTAAATTGATTTGTTTCCTAACTTCAGCAACTTGTTATTCTAAATATGTCACCCATCCATCACATGGACCTAATGCCACTTGTGCCATGTCCCAAGGAGGGGAAAAGGCAGATGCCCCCTTGATTAAATACCAGATGTATAGATCCAAGTAAGGGATATGTATAGGTTAAAATGTTATCATCTCCTTTTACTGCTGTGAATTGAAGCTGTGTCCCGCCCCCCCCCCAACATAGAGTATGAAGTTCATAAGTATACCCTCTATTTGCCATGATTATGGTTTGATTTGGGGGAATCTGCAATGGGGGGAGGGAAACCTCTGTTCTGTTGATCTCTTTTCTGTAAGATGTTTCTGCAGAAAGCAACAAAGATGCATATTTCTTAGAAAAAAAATTAAATTATTTTTCTCACCTCTCCTTAGATGATGATGTTGAAAATGATCTTCAATCATACATCTATTGAACACTGCAACGCAACCAGCTACGTGGACGAAAACTCAGAACTGAAGGAAGAATGCAATTTCTTCCTGACCGCTGTCCGTTTGGCCTCACTAAACCAGATTCTGGATCCCTGGGTTTATCTGCTGTTAAGAAAGATCCTCCTCCAAAAATTCTGTCAGGCAGCAAGTGCTGTCTCCGGCTGCTCTAACACCAGATGGAAAGAGCGACAGGTCACTTTCTCAGATGACATGAGACAGACAACAGCATGAAAAAATGTTGATTCAACTTGCATGCAAACTACTTTTCACAAGTAGTTTTAAATTTTACTGTGAATTTGGGCATCTGTGGCATGACAGTGTTCCTGCATAAATAGCTGCAGTGTAAGTGGTATGAATGGACATAGAGGGCCAGATAATTGCATATCATGTGTGCCAACAATGCTTAAATATAAACAAAGGGATGTGTTCTGTTCTTAACAGTAACCTCTAATTCTGGTGTCTTTGGCTGAGAGCATTCAACCTCCAGAATGTAGTCAAGCTAAATACATCATGATTTCTAAGGATTCTTCTTGCATCAAGTCAGAGGAATCAGCCATTGTTTTGTAAGGGAGACACAGATTCAACTGCAACTCTACTAAATTTTGACACTAGGATTATCTACTACATCCAGATATTATTTCTTCCTCCAATTCTTTTTCCTTTTTGAGGGAAAAGTACAAGAACTTTAAGGAAGAAAATAATAGGAAGCCTTTAATTTCTCCCAAGTTCAATGTTTTGTTGCAAGAAGTGAAAATGACATGTATTTTGATGATGACATTTTCTTTGAAATGCCGAAAGGCAG